CTTTCAAAAAGATCTGCAGAACACTCTAAAAGAGATATTACATCAGCTTTCTCCCATCACCTTAAAGTCAACAATCATCATTTTAGTATCCCTGATGGTGTCAAATTAATTCATAATATCCAAGATAAAAATACTTTACGTTTAGACCTGTATGAGGACCTTGAGATATCCAGAGACATGAGGACTAGTCCCAATTGTGTTAACCGCCAAACTACCCTCAATAGACCTTTTACTCCTATACACCGACAATTATTCCCTTAATTTTAATCCAGTAATTGCATCTAAATTTCATCTACTTATCTCCTGCTCTTTTATTTTGTCTCTCTTCTCTTTTTTTTTCTCTCTTTTCCCAACCACCCTACTAGCATCTAACATTTTACAACTTCCTTATTAATCACCCACTAACTTATATCATACTCAACAATTTTCCACCCTCTGACTTTCAGTTTTTCTATTCATTATACTACTTCCTCTTATACCATCAATTTCCTTCTTTCTATCCATTATATGACCTCCTTTGATACCATCTTATCCCTTGACAGTTTCTTTCTTTTCTTTTTGTCATCCTCTTGCATTTCTTTTTTGACTCTTCTTCTGATTTTTTCACACCTTCTCTTCTCATGTCTCTCACTTCTTGGGGTCTCCTTACTTTTCTGGTTAACGTTTTTCAATACTATTCGTCATTATTAACTTCAATCATTAACTTTAAACTTAAACTCCACAACCACAATCTTACTCCACCAGCCATCAACACACATCCCTCCGACACTTTCAGTCTGTGGACCACACTACCACTTATAATTCACATTTCACTCAATCAACTCAATTATGCAGTCAATTTAATCTTCTTACAGCCAACCCTACATATAGTCTCTATTATTTTAAATTTTTTCTCTAATACATATTCACACACATTTAACAGGTTACATTTTCTCTCCTACTGTATATATATATATATATATATATATATATATATATATATATATATTCATTTTACATACTACACAATAAAGTGATGTCCATATTAATACTATCATTTCTACAATACAATAACAGCTAGAATATCATATTCTGTTACCCTATCTCATAAAACTTTCAATAGAATATTCATTTGACTAATTAAAATAAAAAAAAAATTTTAACTATCAGATAATTACACAGGTCTTTTACCATTACTAGGCAACCACCTTTACACAATATAAATATAATTTTCACTTCCATCCCATTGGATTTTAACTTAATTATTCAGTTATAATAATGTTATACACTTCATATACTTGCATTTGTACAGTACCACACCAATACCCTTCTTCTTCTACCTTTATCATTTTAATCATCACTTATGATGTCATAAATGTCAACCTTATATATTAATCCCATTAAATTGACAGTTCATTTTTTCAATAATAGAGATTCACTGATCTAGGCAATAAATTTTATCATTTAAATAAATCTAATTGTTACAGTCAGGTTCATTAATAAGATATTAGTCATTACTACAAGTAAACAAAGTTTATAATTTCACAAATAAAAATTACATTAATTTCGGAACATACTGACATCCTGTCAGGTTTAGCTGTCGTTAAATTATCTCCTGTGACATCAGCCATTTGGTCTGTGTCATCGTGTCAACTGACAAGTACCACGTGCAAGTATTCGAGCTTAAGAGACATGTAGTCCCTAAAGTAAATTTTAATTTTAAAACAATTCCATTGTCATCGACCTAGAGTCTCAACATTATTAAATGTAAAATGTGATATTTTGTAAATCCACACATGGAAGTCTTATAGACACCTTATTGTTAGCACCAAATACAAAAGGCACTGAAGATGATCTGTATAGATTGAAAACGTTCTGCCAGAATTTTAAATGTTGACGACACTTTTAAAAAGTTTTTAAGTACTTGTATGTTTTTATACCAAAATACACAATTGTGAAGTGTTTTAACTTCTGTGTTTTTTACAAAAACACATCTTTATAAAACATTAGTGCGAAGTAATATGACATATGGGGCTAAAAATTTAATTATAAACAAGAAAAACAGTAGTAAGATAGTAGCAACAGAGATGGAATGCCTGAAAAGATGCTGTAGAGTAACAAGAATGGATAGGAGAAGTAATGACGAAATAAAGCAAAGAACATAAGTAGAAACAGACATACTAACATATATAGAACAAAAAAGACTAAAGTGGTATGGACATGTAAGAAGAACCAGCGACAGCAGATAGATAAAGAGAATAACCGAATGGAGCCCCATAGGAAGGAGGAAAAGAGGACGACCCCAAAGATCCTGGACGAACGAAGTAGACGACGCCATGAGTAAGAGATGCCTAAACGATCTAGAATGGGGCAACAAAAAGAGATGGAAACGGTTGAGCGAGGGAAGGCAGTGAATACTGTAAAATCCCTGAATACCTATATATGATAAGTTTTTATGCACATTTTATGTAACTGTCTCATGCCCTGAATCGAACAATTTTATACTACCAGAATGTCAGTCAGGATTTCGGCCAAATAGAGGTTGCACTGACAATGGATACACACTCTCCTCTGCTATACAAATTCAGCTTTCACTTTAAAAATGTAATGTTTTTTGACATAAATTGTATAGCTGTGAATTCAGTTCATGTGTTTTTGTTTTCTGCTATTGCAGAAATTTTACGTGCATGTCACTACATGTGTCTGAACTAATGGCTCTTACATGTTGTCATTGTTCGTTGAATCAGGAGTTTCCCAGGGAGAAGTAATAAATTCTCTTTTATTCTCAATGTTTCTGTCTGACGTAGAGTATTACTTCAAATTCAAAGGCTGCCACGTCATCCCTATAGATGGAAATACTGAACCATTAATGTTGTTTTATGCAGATGACATTATTATCATGGTAGACTCGGAAATAGATGTCAGAAATAAACTCAATATCTTGCATAGTTATGCTAAATTAAATAAACTAGAAGTAAATACAGAAAAAATTAAAATTATGCGTTGTTCCAAGCAGAAGCACAAGTATGTAAGTTTTCAGAGTTTTTATATAAAAATCGTAAAATGGATGTCAGTAATAAATTCACCTATCTCGGTGTTGTTTTTACCTCTTCTTGTCTATTTAGAGAAATGGCAGTCTCAATTACGTCAAAAGCAAAAGTTGCCATCGCTTGTATCTTACCACTTCTTATAAGAAGTAAATCTGTTCTTGGACCTCCATAGTTCATCTTTTTGAATCCCTAGTTATTTTTGCTAATTGTATACCAATTGAAATGAGGTTGAATGCTCGAATAAATGAACTTTGAAAAATAAGGCTATTATCGAGCACAAGTTAATTAAATCTAGCCCAAGTACTTTCGCTTAAAATAGCATCTTCAGGGGCATTTCGTCAAAATATAAACTATCCGGCAAGCTTAGAATGTGGAAACATTAATAATGACATAAAATTGTACAAAACACTACACTAAAACGAGGACAAACAGTTTAAAATTACTTTAAAGATTCTACGCTACATTCTTTGTCAGTATCTGGAGGGATAATCCATGATTATCCCTCCAGATTACCTGAACTGCCAGTCCCTGAACCTCCTCTATGTATTGATTACATTTTAAATACTAATGAATCAGAATCTGATAAAAGTGGCCCAGGAAATGATGGTGAATTTCAATATCCATCAGAATTCAGTACAGAGATCTACAGTTTACTTAGTTTTTTAGTCAGGGAGGGGATTTGGTCTACTGTCATGATATTGGTGATCTAATGAATGTGCTTGTTATTGAGTTTATAAGGATGGTTGGAGGTTTTTCATAGACTCTTTAAAAACAAGTTTAAAAGCTGTACTCTTACACAATGGGAACACCTATGCATCACTTCCTATTTCTCATTTAGTCCATATGAAAGAGACATATGAAAATCATAATTCTACAGAAAATCAGCTATTCAGCTCACAATTGGATGATCTGTGGAGATTTAAAAGTTGCTTGCACGCTACTTGGTCAGCAAAAGGGATTAACAAAGTTTCCATGTTTTATTTGTCAATGGGACAGTAGATCAAGAGATAAACACTGGTCCACAAAACAATGGCCCATAAGAAATATTTTAACACCTGGCGAGAACATTTTGTACAAAACTTTGGTAGATCCAAAAAAGATCCTCCTTTCACCTCTACACATCAAGTTAGGCTTAATGAAACAGTTTGTCTAGGCCCTGCCTAAAGATGGAGAATGTTTTAAGTACTTAAGTGAAAAGTTTCCTCGTCTATCAGAAGCCAAATTGAAAGAAGTTGTTTTTGTTGTACCAGATATTCGTAAAATGATGTTCGATTCCAACTTTTAAACCAAGGTGACTACTAAGGAAAAAAAACTTGGATTGCATTTAAAAAAGTTGTAACCAAGTTTTTAGGTAATGTGAAAGGCCCTAACTACGAGCTTATAATAGCCACTTTATTAGATAAGTTTAAAGATTTGGGGTGTCTACTGAGCCTCAAAATCCCCTTTTTTGTATAACCATTTTGACTTTTTTCCTGAAAATCTGGGTGATGTCAGTGAAGAACAAGGCGAACGATTCCACTGGGGTATCAAGGTGATGAGGAAACGATACCAGGGACGTTGGAACATCAATATGATGGATGATTACTGTTGGTCACTTCATCGGGAACAACAGAGTGCCTCGCATAGGAGAAAAGTTATTTGAAGAGTTTTACAGAAAAAAGAGAAAGAAAATACGAAAGCATTGTTTCCCGAAATGATTGTACAGACAAAATAAGAATTAGATAAAAGGTATTATTTTAATAATGTATAATTTTAATGTATTTCGGTATTTTGACTTTTTCAAATTATTATAATGTAGAATAAACCAGTGTCATATTGTGGGAAAACTGTGGATGATACGTAAAATCAAATTTCAGTTTCTTTTTTGCGGCAAAAAATACATAGGCATCGTATAAATTTCTAAAAAAAAGTTTTATAAATCTTTTTGTTGTTGTTATTGCTTGCTAAAAAAAGAACATTATGGTTTTGTAGGAGACAGATTAAGAAAAATAAATCAGTAATTCAATTGCTGCTATTTAATGAAAACACTGAAGATGACATTAAAAGTAAAAATATAAAACAGACTGAAATTTTAGTTGATCTTAGAGAAGCTATTTTACAGGTAAGTTTATTAAAAAACTTCTGTATTTCTTGTGTTTGCATATATTATTGAAATATAATTGATTAATTATATCACGTTTGTATATTAATAACTAATAATGCCTTTACATTGTATCTGGTTTGTAAATACTGGAACAGGGTTTAAAATGTATCATTTGATTTATATTCACGCTTTATTTACAATTTTTATTAACTTCGTGTAAAAAGATTAGTGAACTTTTTATAGAAAGGGGAACTCTTTACCATCGACCTTGAAGACTCTTATTTTTAACATCTAGTACAGCCCACAGTTTTTTCAAAAGTTTCCCTTTCCAATATAAACTGGTTGGAGATCTCAGCAATTAATATTTGCTGTTGACTGTTGTGTGGCCAATACATTATTAACTTCATCATATATTTTAATTTTCTTATCAGTTGCTGTTCTAAGTTATAATGTTGCTGGTGATAATCTAAGATGGTTTCTTATTATGCAATATCTTTCTAAAATGATCTTTATCTTCAATGTGTAAGCTGTTAATCCACTGTAGTTTTCTGACTGTTGTATCAGTTTATTGCAATTTCATGGAAGGTGGCATACTTTACCAATATCTGGGCTCATCTTTCTTCGGCATTGTGCCAAGAATTATTTTCCATATATTCACCGTTCTGTTCTTTTCTGCAATGGTTAGAACTTCACTACTTTGTAAAGTTTGACTATAAGTTTCACGTTGCAGGTCGATAACAAGTGCTTTATCTAATAGTTTTGTTCTTGTTTAATCGTAAAGTTTTCTGTAATTATCTTTCTCCATCTCTCTCCCCCCTAAAAATTAACGAAAGTGTCTACCATTATCATGCAGAGTAAATTAAAAGCAAGCAGAGGGTCAGGAAGATCACGAATCTCTTGGTTGAAAATCAGAGACAGTGGACAGGTAAAGATTCTTAGAACTGTTTAGAAATGCAGTAAACAAACTTATGTGGATCAGAATGATCGCCAATGTCCAATTATGATATGGCACGGAAGAATGATTCGCGTAGAAGTTTCTGGGTTTCTGCTGAGCATTATCCAACTGGTTCTTGAATGTATACCTGTCTTTAGTTTGTTAATTGATGGGTTTTAACTTACAATACCATTCTATTATACCTTTTAAGACAATTACCGGCTGTGCCAGAGAGGTCGTCCCTTCTGTATACTGTTCAACCTGACTTTGAAAAAAGTGATACGTATGTCAGAAATCACAATCACCGGTTCAATACATCACAAATATTTACAGTAAGGCAGACGCTGGAAAAATTCTATGAACAGAATACCGAACTACATCATCTTTTTGTAAATTTCAAACAAGCTTATGACTCAATAATTAGAAGGGAATTATATAGCGCAATGCAAGAGTTAAATGTGCCAAAAAAACTTATCAGAGTTGTAAAACTATGCCTAATCAACTGTCAGATGAAGTTAATATTAACGAAGGTCTAACACAAGGAGATGCGTTATCCACAACAATTTTTAATCTTGCGTTGGAACAAGAAAAGATCTATACATATACAATTTTAAAGAAGCGGCATATACTATGGGTCTAAAAGTAAATGACATGAAAACAACTCGGAAAAAAGTACAAATACATGACAATCATATATCTTCGAGCGGACAAAAATTTGAAAGAGTAGACCATTTCAAATGTTTAGAATCAATAGTTACAGAAGGAAATAAAACAGTGCAGAAGGAAATAAAAACAGTGCTGAGGTTAACAGCGAGAATGTCAATTGGAAACAAATGCTTCTACAGCCTACAGAATATTATAAAGTCATAATTAGTATCTAATAATTCAAAAATAAAATATAAACAACAGTTATAAGACCCATAGTAACGTATGCATCAGAAACATGGATTTTGACTAGTGAACAAGGGGAACAACTTCTTAGATGGGAAAGGGAAATATATGGATCTGTACAGGAGAATGGGGAATGGCGTATAAGAATGAACCTAGAAATAAATAGAATATTTAATATACCGACTGTCACAAAAGAAATACAAAGTAAACTACTGAGTTAGCTGGGACACCTAGAAAGGATGTATGATAAGAGAAATTAAAAACTGTACTTTAATACTATTTAAAATAACTAGGAATACTAGAATGGGGAAAACAAACAAAGGAAAGAAAGACATGGTCAACTATAGTCAATGAAGCAAAATATACATGTCACTGAAATAATCTAGTCAATGAAGAAAAACTATTAATTAACGATTTAAATATAAAAGGTTGGATTTTTTGAGGACTTATGCGTATGGCTGGCCTCCATACCAGGTAAATCTTTAGAGCCTAGAATTCCCAACGGGCGACCATGACTCTGCATAGACTGTCAGTGGTCACAAATGATGATGATCAGATATAAATCGCAGAAAATACAAAGGTAATCTACATGATATCGCAAAGCAAGAAATTATCAAAGCGGCAAATCAGATAAAGAACGGAAAAGCTGTTGGGGAAGATAATATCCCAATTGAAATAATAAAGATATTACTAGACGAACACATCGAAGTAATGGAAGATATATTTAACAAAATATACGAAACAGGCATAATACCAAATGATTAGCTGACATCGGTGTTTATACCACTACCAAAGAAGAAAAACTCCAAGAAATTTGAAGACCATAGGATTATTAGCCTGATGAATCATATATTGAAACTTTTCCTACGAGTAATACACAATAGAGTATACAATAAACTAGACGAACACACTGGTCAAACTCAGTTTGGTTTTAAGAATGGGTTCGGAACAAGAGAAGCACTTTTTTCAATACGTGTGCTAGTTGAAAGATGTAGCGATGTCGATTCTGATGTATACTTGTGTTTTGTAGACTTTCAGAAGGCGTTTGACCTGGTGAAACATGATAACCTAATAGATATTTTAAGGTCATGTAATAAGACTTAAGGATCATTTCAAACCTCTACCAAGAACAAAAGGCTAAAGTCAGAATAAAAAGCGAAACATCTGGAAAAATCAATATCGAGAAGGGAGTAAGACAGGGATGTGTCCTATCACCTTTGCTGTTCAATGTTTACTCTGAGAAGATATTTCAGAAAGCTTTGGAAGGCACCTCGGCTGGTATAATTATAAACGGGCAATGTATAAATAACCTACGATATGCTGATGACACTGTCATACTGGCAAATAATGCTGAAGCCCTGCAATGCTTAATGGACTGAGTAACGACAGCCTGTAGAGAATTTGGAATGAAATTGAATACAAAAAAGACAAAAACGATGGTCATCAGCAAGCACCAAAACATAAGGGTGAAGGTCAATGTCGACGGAACAGATCTGGAAAGAGTAACAAGAACAACGTACCTTGGAAGTAATCTTGATGAAACTTGGGACCACTCACTAGAGATAAGAATACGCCTGGAAAAGACACGTACAATGTTTTACAAAATGCAAAAAGTTCTATGCAACCGCCAGCTGGGCATCTCATTGAGAACTAGAATACTTAAGTGCTATGTTTTCTCCACGTTGGTCTATGGTGTTGAAGCCTGGACAATGACAGAAGCAACACAAAAAAGAATCCAAGCATTCGAACTCTGGTGTTACCGTAAAATGCTCAGAATATCCTACATGAGCCATACGACAAATGCGGAAGTCTTGCGGAGCATGAATAAGGAAAGAGAGCTTATGCTTATAATAAAAGAACGGAAAACACAATATTTTGGTCACATCATAAGAAATCAAAAGTATGAACTGCTCCAACTTATAATCGAAGGCAAAGTCAATAGCAAAAGAGGACCAGGAAGAAGACGCAACTCTTGGCTTAAAAACCTACGGAATGGACGAACATGACCTCCATAGAACTATTCAGGGCTGCTACAAATAAGATTAAATGGGCAAATGTAATGGCCAACGTCCGTAAGGATAAGGCACCGTAAGAAGAAGAAGAATCTACATGACAATAATACGCCCAGTTCTGACAAATGGCTCAGAGACCTGGACTCTAATAAAAAGTAATGAAAATGTGTTAGGATGTTTCGGGAGAAAAGTACCAAGGCCAATTTATAGAGCGGTGAATGACAATGAAGTATGGAGAAGACGATACAACTTCAAACTTTATAGTACATACCAGGAACTAGATATCTTAGTATAAATTAAGATAGGACATCTGAGGTGGGTAAGGCATGTAATGCGGAACAAACTGGTCCATCTTGAAAAACGATCCTGGATAGACCCATTGGTCAGAGAAGAAGAAGAAGCCGCAGAACAAGGTTCCTTGATAACATCAATGATGATATGGGGATATGTGCTTGGCAGAGGAAGGCGATGGATGACTGGAGAGAAATTCTTAATGAAGCTAGGACCCACACAGGGTTGTAAAGCCAGAATGATTATGATAATACTACTACTGTTTTGTGTTATAACGATATCATTGTTTCAACAATTTGAAATTGTATTAATAATTAGAACAATATTCAATAAAACAAAATTCTTTTAGGTAGCCAGACATTTTCTTCAACTAGATCCAAAATTGAGTAATGAAATAAGTTTAGTGGCTGACTACTCAATGGATAGTCATGGTCAAGATCATATAAATTATATAAATGTTTCCAAAACGAGGAAAAGGAGAGCAAAAGCGTTGTTGGGTAATGTTCATACTTTTCATAAATATCGATAATTCTAATTTATAGTGATGGCAATAATTAATATTTATCAAAATTTATTTGTTTTTAGACTTTGAACGACATGATGATGATGAATTGGGCTTTAGAAAAAATGACATTATTACAATAGTAAGCCAAAAGGATGAACACTGCTGGATAGGAGAATTAAATGGATTAAGAGGTATGTTTTCTACCGGAACTATTTCTGAAATTGGCTTCTATTGGCTGCCCATATTTTTGTTAAAGTTGCGCGTGAAAGACAGCTTCAAAATAGTACTTATTAAACTTATTAATATCTATGATTATCATAAGCAAAAATTTAGTATTATTTCAGATCTATAGATGTTGTTAAAATGGTTCATTAAAGGAAAAAAGATAAGCATTTTCAACAAATCGACGTGAATATTGTTTGGGAACAAGCTTTTCAGTTTTGGGCTTATTTCAACAATTCTTCGAATTCATATCTAAAAAGTCTGTCCAACGAGAGGAGATAGCGCGCCAAAAAAACAAGGCGTTGTCAAATTTGTCAGAACTGGATTTATCGTTTGCTACTACATACTCTTTTAAACATTTTTTTTTGTTAAGCGGAAATCCAAAATTAATTTGTTGTATTTATCTGGACTCATCTTGTTGGTTTTATGTAAAAGAAATGTTTCACACGTGTTATAACACAAACAAAGATACTTTTCTTTTTCTTCTTACGGTGCCTATCCGTTCCGGATGTTGGCGATCAGCATAGCTATCCTAACTTTACTTGCAGCTATTCGGAATAGTACGGTTGTAGATGTATTGAACCACTTCCTTAGGTTTTGATGCCAAGATATTCTTCTTCTCCCTGGTCCTCTCTTTCCAAATACCTTGCCCTGAAGAATGAGCTGCAATAAGCCATACCTGTGTTCACTCCTTATAACATGGCCAAGATATTCTAATGTGCGCTCTTTGATTATGTTAGTGATCTAGCGAACTACAAACTTTACTAGATCCAATAAATAGTGAATGCATTCAAATGGGACTCAAATTTATGATAGTATCAAGGAGTCCAATAAATAATGAACAACTAACCCTTTCTAGGAACATTGGTTAGTCAAAACGCAGAACAAACGCAAGAGATTAAAAGCCGTATAGAAATAGCAAGGGCAAAATTTGTAAAAATGAAACATCTATTGTGTAGTAGAGACCTAAGAATGGATCTAAGGATAAGGTTATTGCGCTGCTACATTTTTACAACTTTGCTCTACGGATCTGAGGCATGGACATTGAAACAACTGGAGATTAAGAAATTGGAAGCTTTTGAGCGTTGGTGTTATCGAAGGATACTACGAATAGCATGGGTAGACAAAATTACCAATATTGAAGTCCTTGATAGGGTTAATAAGAGGGAAGAAATTGTACAGACAATTAAGAGGCAGAAACTTGAATATTTCGGTCATATATTAAGAGGTCCTCGTTATGGGCTACTACGTTTGATTATAGAGGGCAAAATAAAAGGTAAAAGAGATGTAGGAAGAAGACGAACCTCCTGGCTACGAAATCTAAGGGAATGGTTTAGTCTGAGCTCTAGCCAACTATTTAGAGCTGCTGTAAGTAAAATAAGAATTGCCATGTTGATATCCAACCTTCGTTAGAAGATGGAACCTTAAGAAGAAGAACTAACCCTTGTTAGACAGCAAATAGAGAGAGTGACAAAATATAAGTATCTGGGAGCTTACATTAGCACATAATTAGATCCAGACCAAGAGATCAGAGTACGAATAGAAATGGCAAGGGCAGCGTTCTTAAAATTCAAGCAATTGTTCTGTGACAAAAATCTGAATACTGAGCTTAGACTTAGGTTTGTTGAATGTTACGTCTGGTCCCAACTATTGTACGCGGTAGAAACATGAACGTTAAAAGCGCAAATAGTTAAGAAGCTTGAAGCCTTTGAACTTTGGATATACCGGAAAATGTTGAGAATTCCATGGACTGGCAGGGTTAACAATGAGGAAGTGCTGAGAAGGATAGGTCGAGACAAAAAATTGTTGACACAATAAAAGTACGCAAGACTGCATATCTTGGACACATACTGAGGAATGATAAATATAGTCTTCTGCAGGTCATCATGCAGGGTAGAGTCGATGGCAAAAAGAGAATAGGTGGAAAGAGGAAGTCATGGCTGCGAAATATTCGAGACTCGACAAACATGACTTTAGACGAATTATTCCACGTTGCAAAAGACAGAGAAACTTTTAGAAATGTGGTCGCCAACCTCCGTTAATGGGGACGGCATAGGAAGAAGAAGAAGAAGTGATCTAGCATTCCATGCCCATTCTACGTAGGACCTCAATATTAGTCAGACGATCCTTCCATAAAATTCATAAGATGCGCGTGTAACACCACATCTCGAAGGCCTCGAGCTTTCCTAAAGAAGTTATGTATCACTTTTAAAAACGTTTTAAGTAAGTGGTTCATTAGGCTAATTATTCTGTAGTGTGGCCTTTTTTGCTTGCCGTTGATGAATTTCTAGCTCTGTCTCGTACTGCTTTTTTTCGTTTTCAGTTGATGATGAGATTAAGTTTACCAATCGATCTCAGTTATTACAAGTGTCTGAATGAGGATAGTGAAATTTTAAATTAAATTTAGTATTGAAAATGTGGCGGTAATATGAGTCCTTAACTGGAAGTTCATCGTTGTCAGTGCAATTATTATCTTTGTAGAGACAATTTTACGAATGTTTAAATTGGGCGAAAGGTATTTCGTATTTGGATTTTGATTATAAGACTAATGACTCCTATAACGTGGAAATGATCTGATATGCTATCACTCTTTTTCATGCGTTCTCTGATACTTTGTTGGTTGGGACATTTTTTCTCTTTTATCAGGCTCTACAAAATTGTCTTTGTCAACTTCTTTATACAAAACCTTAAAGCGACTATCGCTTATATCAAAAGTTTTTAGGAAAAACTCTCTGCATACACGGCAGTCAAGAAATTTAATTTCTGTACTGTAATTCTTTTTGGTATTAACCAGTTTTTTTAGGTTTAGTTTTCCTGATATATGAAGCTAAAAAAGCTGTTTGCAGGTCATAAGTTGGTAAACTGTACAACTTAGAGTAGGGTTGTTGTCATTCATTCTCGTTAAATATTCCACTTTGGTACTTACACATACTGCTGGACACATTTCTTTCTCTTCATTTTTCCTCTGCTTTCATATTCTTGTCCAGCGACCCTCTTATTTGTGATTCCCTTTTCGGGTACTTTTAGGAGTTACTGAAAAGAAGAAATATGTTAACCCCTTAAGTTGAATTTAACTTCGAAATTTCTAAAAGTACATAACTGTAATAGGTACTAAATTTGCCGGTATCTACAAGTTTAATATTTACAAAATAAATTATTTTTGTTAGGGATGTCACGCTTAAATTGAAACTAACAGGACACACACTTTTACTATTAAAATGTTATGCTCTCCATGTGTGCTTGTAGTGGCTTCCTCGGCAGATATCATAGAATTATCGCTTTCGTTATCTTCATCATGTTCACTCGGAATGAAATCAGATTCTCCATCTGTAGCGTATGGATCACTATCTGACTCTAAAAATAATATAACCTTAAAATTATTGAACTATAGATTCTTATTTTATCTTTTTTCCAAAAATCATTATACCTTACCTGACTCAAAAAACATGATCCAAATATTAGAATGACAAAATATATAATTTCTGCACACAATAGTATCACTTAAAACACTGCTATTAATCTACTAAAGTAGTATAACCTACATTCCATAAACAAATCCAAACCGTTGAGTGAAACCCAAACAACATAAGTAATAAAAATATATTTGGAACAGACTAGGTGCTCTAAGGCGATTTCTGCTCTTAACGGTTGGTGAATGTCATTTTGGTTGTTTTTTCTATTCATCAAAAGATGGCAATAAAGTAGCGTTAGAACCTAGTCGAGTTTACTACCAAACAATATAAGGTATTCAGAACGTGAAACATCACTAAAGTCGTTTTCGTGAAAATTGAACTTATTAGGCGGTTTTACTTCTAATCCCTTCAGTTGTTAGGGTAGGTACTTTTAATTGATACTTAATTTTTAGATTTATTTGTTTTTATGATATTTATTTTAATCGAAGATACTTTTAATTATTGATGAAATCAACTGAAAAATTAAGTAAAAGCACGTAGTCGTAGTTCCTTATAAAAACAATGTGTTGGAAATCCCTTAATCTAATTGCATGTTGAATCACAAATATTATGATCAATCACGCGCACGCTACTTCCTGTCTAAATTCAGTCGATAAATAGCTCGTGGTGATTGCGCATATCGGCGCGTTTAATCGAACTTATTGCGTGTTTATACTTCTTATATTTTTCTTTTATATTTAGTAAGAAGGAGACCACTCTGTATGCTAATCATTTTTTACACTGTTTACAGTTTTGTGGTCTGGTTTATAGTTTTACAAACAATGTAGAGTTCTACAGATTCTGCGGAGGAATTGACTTTAAAAAGCAGTCTAAATTATGTGCGTTTAGTAGTACGGAAAAACGCGTTGAATATAATATTTATACATCGACAATGGAATCGCGTCCTGAAGCTTTAATATTGGAAATAGTGTTATATTTTTATTTGTATAATTTATTTACTTTTTTTCTCTTATTCTAATTTATTAAAACACAATAATTTATATCAATTTATTATACCACTTATTCGATACAACAATTTATTTTCGACTAACTGTTTTCCACAAAAAGGTTTCTATTTATATAAAAGTCCGTTATTCGAGAGTTCCGGCGATTCCCTTTGACTAGACTAGAAGGTCAATCGGACGGGTTTTCAATCGTCCTGCTTCAGGAACCTTCGAATCGTAGGGGACCGATCGTTTCAGTTAGATATTACCTGGAATTTCTGCCTGCTGGTCGAAGGGTCGTAAAATATAGAACATATCAGAATTAGAAAGAATATTTATGAGACTAACATCTGGACTTCGGTGTCTTGAAAGATCTTCTCCACCATATTTCGGATAACCTCCAATCTAATTGGCGGTACTCCAACTTTGGCATGGCTAACTTTTGCACGTCGGACTCCAGTACGTGCTCTCTCAATTGAAGTAAGGCTTCCCGTGCATCTCGATAGGTAGGTTGGTCACGGGCAGTGTCTTTTGTTACCAGGTAGAAAATATAATGTAATTCATCTTGGAGTTTCAAGGCTTTCCCTGGAGCTGGCACTTGGCATTGAAGTTCTGCAACTCAACCGAACTTCCTTCGAAAGACGGATGCCAACCCTGGTGCGTCTTTGATACTGGCCGGGATGGTAAGGGCCAGTGAGTAGTCATCGGGAAGATCTTGCCTTTCTTCAGTGGTAACACCATGTCTTGCTTTACCGGTACCTCCATAGGCACCCATGAATTCCTCAAACGTGAGGTCAGACACATCTTGGACTTGGTTTACTTCCACTTATTCATCTACGTCGTAGTCACCTTCGAAAGACGCCAGCCGGTTATGGTGTACTATCATCGGCTTTCCCCTCGGAATCTTGCTTATTCGGTAAATGACATCATTGACCTTCTCCATAATGAGGTATGGACCTTCCCAAAACTGCTGCAACTTGGGAGGGAGAACAACTATTTCGCTTTTTGGGAAGTCAGACTTTGTCGTTCTTCTTAAAACACCCCTTTTCGGCTTGCGTATCGTACCGTTTCTTCATTCGGTCACTAGCGATCTGAAGATGGGAACGGACCAACTCGTGTACATCGTCCATTCTTCTTCGTAATTCGATCACATAATCTTCACCTGCTACATCTTCTCCAGGTCGACACCCAAACTCTAGATCACGAAGTAGTTGCATCTTGCGTCCGAATAGGACTCTGGCTGGTGTCTGTTCTGTTGATTCGTTAACAGCAGATCTGTAGGCCATTGTGAAGAACGGAAGATATTGGTCCCAGTCTCGCTGATGATCGGACACCATCTTTTTCAAATACTTGCCAACTGTCCTATTCATCCGCTCTACCATACCACTTGATTGCGAATGATATGCTGTAGTTCTTGTTTTCTTCATGTCTATCACATATTCCTTGGAATATATCGCTTTCGAAGTTCCTGCCTTGGATGATTGCTGATATATTCTTGGATCAACTTATCTGCAACGGTGGCGGCCTTTTGGTCTGGAAGTGCGTAAATCTCGACCCGCTTAGTGAAGTAATCCATTACTACCAACATGTACTTGTCTCCATTTTCACTTTCTGGAAATAGCAAAGCAATGTCCAAAGCTATTCTTTCGAACGGGCTTCCAACATTATATTGTCTCATAGGAGCTCTCCTTTTTCGGTAAGGCCCGTTACTTGTAGCACAAATAGTACATTTCTTAGACCAGTCTTTTACGTCGTCGGAACTGTTCATCCAATAAAACCGTTCCCGAATTCGCTGAAGGGTCTTCTTTACACCAAAATACCCTCCTGATGGACTGTCATGTAACTGACGAAGTATTTTGGCTATTCTGCTCTTTGGGATCACCAACTGTCTTCTCTTTTCTGAACCGTCATCATTTTCCAGGACTCGTTTGAGCAAGCCATCTTCCATGATAAATGAGTCCCACTGGACCCAATACGTCTTAACTACTGAGCATAGGTTTGACCACGACCACCTTGCCAAGGTGGTTGACGGTTTTCCTCTTTCCATTTTCGAATTTTCTGTACAACTGGATCTCTCTCTTGTTCTTCTCTTATCTTAGTCGGCGTCCAGTCGTCGTTGACCATTGTTGTTCTTAGCACTGCTGCTTCCTTGTATTCCGTTTTGTTACAGTAGGAACACTCTGCTAGGTATGGCCTTCTGGAGAGAGTATCAGCGTTTCTGTGGCTAACTCCGGCCCGGTGCTCAATCTTGAAATCGTATTCTTGGAGTCATTCGATCCACCTGGCTATCTGACCCTCTGGATTCTTAAACTGCATCAACCACTTAAGAGCGTCATGGTCTGTTTGGATTAAAAACTTTCATCCATAGAGGTTTTGATAGAAGTGCTCTACTGATTTCACGACTGCTAGAAGTTCTCTTCTCGTGACGAAATAATTCCGCTTAGGTTTTGAGAGAACTTTACTAAAGTATCCAAGGACTCTTTCCTGTCCTCCTTGAATCTGAGACAGCACTCCTCCAATTCCCACATTACTTGCATCTGTATCTAAGATGAATCTCCTTCTGGCAGTGGATACCCTAAAATTGGTGCTGTTATTAAATGCTTTTTCAAGGTCTCAAAGGCATTTTGGCAGTCTGTATCGCAGCGGTAATCTCTGGCTTCCTCTGTGAATCGCGTTAATGGCTTAGCGATATCTGCAAACTTTTTAATAAACCTCCGGTAGTAAGTACTTAGTCCAAGAAAACTTCTCACTTGATTTTTGTCAGTGGTTCTGGCCATTCCTTAATGGAATCGATTTTTCCCTTATCCACGGCCACTCCTTTTTTACTGACTGTATGACGCAGATAATTGACTTTACCTTGAAATAGCTGGCAGTTCTTGGGGTTTAACATCAATTGGGCAGCTTTAAGTTGATTAAAAACGTTTTCTAAATTAATCAGATATTCTTCAAATGTCTCCCCCAAGACGATTATGTTATCTAGATAAACCAGACATGTTTTCCAAGATAACCCTCTCAACACATTTTCCATAAGCCTCTCAAATGTCGCAGGAGCATTATAGAGTCCGAATGGCATGACGTTGAATTGCCACAATCTAGATCCTGTGGTGAAGGCTGTCTTTTTTTTATCTACTAGGTCCATTTCTACCTGTCTGTATCCATACTTCAAATCCAAAGTAGAAAACAATTTACTTCCAGTCAATGTGTCCAATGGGTCGTCGATCCGAGGCAGAGGATAACTATCTTTCTTGGTAACATTGTTCAGCAAACGGTAATCCACACAGAACCTCGTCGTTCTGTCTTTCTTCTTAATCAGGACCACCGCAGAGACCCATGGGCTCGTAAAAGGTTCTATCACCCCGTCTTTCTTCATTTCCTGAACAATCGTTTCAGCTTCCTCTCTTTTCGCCTGTGGTAATGGTCGAGCTGTTTGACGGATTGGCTTAGCATTACCAGTATCAATTTTATGCTTAACAACGGTAGTTCTTCCCGTCTTTTCTCCTTTCGGTACGAAAATATAACGATGCTGCCGAAGGAATTCCCCTAATTTCCTTTTCTCAATCTGATTTAGAGACTGTCCAGCAACTGCAACTGCATTTGGTCGAATTTGTCGTTGGAATTATCAGATGTTGTCGTCTGGCCGATTATGGATGTTACAGGTACACAAGTTCCTACTTTTGTCTCTTTCTTGATGGTAACTGGGTAGTTATTGATATTGATAAGCCTCACAGGTATTTCTTTAGCCGAAGTCACCAATTCCTTTCCAATTATGATTCCTCGGCCAACCTCGTCGTCATAGTTCCGAGGCTCCATCATAACAGGTGTCCATTCGTCCACAATTCCCTGTAGCCGCGCTACTACTATATTCATTACGTCAATTCCTAATATAACATCATCTTCAATGTCAGCAACTATAACAGTGTGGACGAACTTTTCTGCTCCAATTCCTAATTGTACCTGGATTTCTCCATGAATGTTGGCAGTTTCACCTGTAGCGGTCCGAAGTCGCAACCTCGTTGGTAACAGTTTCTTTCGGCTGTTTATAACTGTCGAGCGAATAATGGTTCTGTTCGCTCCGGTATCTACCAACAACGTATACCTTAATTACTATTTAACTGGGAATAAGCCACAATTAAAGATAAAAATATATTTATTGACGTTTCAATTTCCAAAAAAAAAAACAAAATTTGTTTAATTTACTGTTTGTATTTTGAGAACGATTTCCGAAGTGGAAATTGAAACGTCAATAAACGTATTTTTATGTTTAATTGTGGCTTATTCCCAGTTAAATAGTAATTAATTTACAATGCCACAAGAAAATAGCTTCAGAACGTATACCTTTTACCATTTATTTCTCCATCTACGTATACACTATGTTCACGACATTTCAAAGAAGCTATTAGTATGAGAGGGTCTTTGGAAAAGTTCCAGGTCGAAGCTGCCCCCCTAAGGCCGACCCGTTCTAGTTTTCCTGATGGTGAGTTTCTTGATTTGCGTCGTACCTAGGGTGCTTACATGAACTTTGTACGTGTCCTATTTTGCTACAATTCCAGCATCTTATGGTCTTCGTTTTCTTGTATGTAAATAAATCACTTAATTGTCGTAATACAGATCTAAACAAGAGTGAGAAAACACTAAACGGCAGCCAATTGAAATATTTATAACCATATACGCGTATATTTCGATGTTTACTGGCACTATCGCTTCCCATTAGATAGATCTTAGTAATATCTCAACTTTCAATTGATGATTAAAAAGAGTTTTAATGTAACTATACATTGTTATATAACTGAGAGTAATTTTTTGTGTAAATTGAAAGCTTTGCGTCTAATATTTCCATTTTAATACATTCTATGATATAATTATTTTTAATTTTGTAGGTTGGTTTCCAGCCAAGTTTGTAGAAATGCTAGATGAGAGGAGTAAACAGTACAGTAGTGCTGGAGACGACAGTATATCAGAAACCGTAACAGACTTAGTCCGAGGTACCCTTTGTCCTGTACTCAAGCAAGTCCTTGAGCACGGAATGAAACGTCCACACTTTTTAGGTACATTTTTAATTCAAGGTTTAATTAAATGACTTTTATTTTTTTATTTTTGAAGGTGGTCCGTGCCATCCATGGTTGTTTATTGAGGAATCGGCAATGAAAGAGGTTGAAAAAGACTTTAAATCTGTATACAGTAGATTAGTACTTTGTAAAACATATAGGTTAGATGAAGACGGAAAAGTTTTGACTCCTGAAGAAGTAAGTTAAGAAAATAATATTATCATTTTTATATTTTCTTCTTGTAATTTGTTTGCTCGATTTTACTGTATAATTTCAAGTAAGTGCTTACATAAACAAACTGTAGCTGAGTGCATCACTGACACAGATATATCAGTTTAATAGTTGTTTTATTATACCAATAAACTGGATTTAACTTGACCATAAAAACCATAAAGATGATTATACATTAGAACGATACATCCTATCACTTGAATGTAGTTGTTTTTACTTTCTTGTTGATTATATATATTTTGTTATTATTTCTAGTTGCTCTACCGTTGTGTTCAAGCTATAAATTTGTCTCATGATAACGCGCATGCTCAAATGGATGTGAAACTTCGTTCTTTAATTTGTATGGGTCTCAATGAGCAAGTACTTCATTTGTGGCTTGAAGTGTTGTGTTCTTCCAGTGAAATTGTTAGGAAATGGTATGTATATATAATTTTAGATAATATTAAATTGTTTAGTTGTTTATATTTATTAAATCGTGTGTAAGGTGTTCTCAATAATCTGAAAACGAATTAAACTGAAATCTGAAACATGGAATCCAAAACTATATTTTATACATACAGTATTGGAAAATTTAAAACGGAACATACGGATTATTAATACAATTAGTAAGATCTCCTGACCTGAAATTACCCAGTGGAAATTTCAATATAACGTCGCGATGTATTATAATTAATTCATTTGTTCGACTGGACTCCTTCTCCAGTCGATATTTTTCGACTGCTGCGCACGTGCGCACCTTACCAAACACAATCGATATAAACGAATAATAAAATCTTGCATCTCGCCAAGCCTCTAGTATAAAACGGAATACAGGAGAGGGTATATCTCAAAGCGCCAAAAATCTACAACATTACGTAGATATGGAATTAAAATATTATTTTATTAAAAGAAATTGTTTTATTTTATTGCCATAATGGCATAAAAAAAAGTAGATTTCTAAAAATTAAAATAAAGTAGATTTCTAAAAATAAAATAAAAACGAATTCCAAAAGTAACATAATAATATTAAAATCAAAAATTCAACGTAATAGAGGTTCAAATATTCCACCTCTCTCTGCGGAGCAATAACCAAATCTGTTGTACAAAGATAGTCTCATATCCCTGAGCAGTCCCGGTCTAATGCTTCCACAAAGATGAATTATTTTGTCCCTCAATTCCGCTAAATTTCGGGCTCTTTTAAAACCATGTCGATAAACACTTGTTTTTAAATATCCCCAAAGAAAAAAATTCATTTCATATACATCCTTTTAAATTTTAAATTATCAACAATATTTGGAATAATAAATATATTAAACTATACGCTAACCAATTCGAATAATATCTAATGAACACAAAAAAATTGTTATTAATAAAACATTGTTATTATCTGCACAAAAACACAGAAAATCAGTGGACGATAGACAACAGTGTCGACGTACACCTGCCGAATACGCTACTAGTAATTGCGAAGGAGTAGCAATCCAGTTGAACAAATGAATTAATTATAAGACATCGCCACGTTATATTGAAATTTACACTGGGTAATTGCAGATCAGGGGATCTTACTAATTGTATTAATAATCCGTATGTTCCGTTTTAAATTTTCCAATACTGTGTATATATATATATATATATATATATATATATATATATATATATATATATATATATATATATATAAAAAGGATCACTCAGACGAGTGGTGGGTTCAAATATCGGTCTACTAGGTGGAGAAATAAAAGACAAAGTTGATACTACTTCATCCATTTTGGAAGACGTTTCGCTATCGAATTCTGATAGCATCATCAGTTCATCTAAAAATTTTACATTATGAGAACCACAAATTCATGAAAAAGACGTTACATAGCTACCTTTAAAAAGACATGTAGTTGTCAATGGTATTAAAAAGTTAGTGCAAAAACTCAGATAAATGGACATCATATGGTGATATTGTATAAACAATCAAACAACTAACAACATTTAGAGACTTAATAAAAATTAGCAAAACAACAGAACACTATATATATATATATATATATATATATATATATATATATATATATATATATATATATATATATATATATATATATTTATATATATATATATATATATTTATATATATATATATATATATATATATATATATATGTGATTTAAACACTTATGATTTTATGTAATCTGGAAGGTCATAAATACATAAAACCGAAGTCTGGCAACGCCTAAATTGTTTCAATAAATTTTTTAATACTAACTATTTTCAAATACATTAAAACGTAACTATTAATAGTTTAGAACATTTTTTAACATAGTAGTTACGTTATTAAGTGTTCAAAATGTGCTCAATTTGTGAGTTGACAGCACCCTAATCGATGGTAGAAGGCGTCTACCACATTTCTCCATGATTGTCTAGAAATTATTCGAGATTCATTGATAATTCGTTCTGCAAGCTCTGCAAGACTTGCTGGTTAAGTTTTGTAAACTGAATTTTTCAAGTATCCCTAATAAAAATAATTCAATTCTACCTTGTCTACCAATTTATCGTCCAGGAAATATCTCATCTAAATATCGCCGAACATTTACATCAACTATCTGACGTTAAATTTCTTTCGACAAAAAATGACCCAATTGAATAAGTAACCACTATATCTGACCATACATTTAATTTTTGTGGTCTTTGAGTATGGTTTTCACGCATTCAGTCTTCAGTGTGAATTTACGTCACACCAGTACCTTAAATTGTGTCGATTTACACTTCCACACAGTGTAAAAGTTGCTTCATCGGAAAAACATATTCTGTTAACGAAATTTTAATAATTTTCCATTTTATCCATCATTACCTCAGTAAACTCTAATCTACAACGAAAGTCATGTTCACTTAATTCTTGCAATAAGTTAATTTTGTATGATTTAAATTTATTTTTACATAATAAACGTAAGACTGAAGAATGACCTACATCATGTACTTGTGCAACCCTGCCTGGGGATGTATGTGGATCTTCAACAAAACTTTGCTTATATCTGAAGTTTTGTTGTCATTGATAACTCGTTTCGGTCAACCTGATCGGTATCTATCTTTTACTTCTCCAGATTCCTCAAATCGCCTTACAGTTTTTTGTACCGTCGTCTTATGAATAGGAGAACGGTTTAGAGAACGTCATTTTAGAGCAGCAATTTAAATTGCAGAACTTTTTGAACCACAACTACTGTCAATTTTAGTTCATAATTTAAATGGTGAACAAATGTCAAAATCACAGCATCCTCCATTTAAATATTTAAATTTATTAAAATCTACATATTTTGCACTGTTTTATGTATTTAAGATCTTTCAGACTACATGAAATCAAGTGAACATATGGTTGAACTCGTATTGAATAGCTGAACTCGTGTGAAATTCACACTGAATGCGTGAAAACCATACTCAAAGACCACAAAAATTAAATGTATGGTCAGTTATAGTAGGTACTTATTTAATTGGACCATTTTTTTTTTCGAAAGAAATTTAACGTCAGATAGTTGGTGTAAATGTTCGGCGTTATTTAGATGAGATATTTCCCGGACGATAAATTGGTAGACAAGGTAGAATTGAATGGCCTCCACGTTCACCCAATCTCAATCCTAAAGGTTATTTTTATTAGAGATACTTGAAAAATTCAGTTTACAAAACTTAACCAGCAAGTCTTGCATAGCTAAGGCAATGAATTATCGATGAATCTCGAATAATTTCTAGACAATCATGGAGAAATGTGGTGGACGCATTCTACCATCGATTAGAGTGCTGTCAACTCACAAATGGAGCACATTTTGAACACTTAATAACGTAACTATTATGTTAAAAAATATTCTAAACTATCAATTGTTACGTTTTAATGTATTTGAAAATCGTTAATATTAAAAAATGTATTGAAACAATTTAGGCGTTGCCAGACTTCTGTTTTATGTATTTAAGACCTTCCAGACTACATAAAATCATAAGTCTTACATATGGTTGAACTCGTATTTAATAGGAGATTCCAATAATGACTGAATATATAGGGTGATGCATTTGAAAAACCAAAGTTACTAGTAATATAAGAGAAACTGAAAATCTGACAACATTGCAACTACCAAATATGGAATCTCCTTATCTCAAAATAGGCGTATCTCAAATTTTGTATAATTATGTCGTTTCCAGACTTTTGGGCCACGCTATATATATATATATATATATATATTATATATATATATATATATATATATTATGTGTCGGTGGCAATATGTGTAAAAAGTAAATAACCACTGCTGACGTAGTCACCATCTAGACTACCTCGCCCCCATGTCATCAAAAATAAGCAAAGCAAAGACCCCTACCTATAGTGCTTACGTAATACCTGAACAGCCCCTTATTAGTTTATTCTATGCAGTGACTTACATATTAATTACCCTGTTGCTTGTGTTATTCAATTATCCTTGGTCAATATATTAGAATTTAATGGTTTCACAATGCACGTTAATTCTCCTACAAGAATAATTAAAACAACATCTACTACAGTTGATTATATTGTCTCAGATTTCTCACCCCTTGATGTAGCTCAACAATTATTAATGCAGGACTAACTGATCATGAAGGGGTGTAAGGGGTCGAACCAACATCGATAACATCATGACCCAAATGTCAACCTCACCTGCTCGAGCGGTAACAAATGGTTACACGGTGCACCCTGCTAAATAACCAACGAGGCTCTGACGACCGAGTATAGGCGGTATAACCTTAGTACCATAAACATGAAGAAAATGTCATGGACCCATTCCAGGAATTCCTGAGGCCAGTCTGATGGCTAGAGCCGGCAGCCCCGGCATCAGAATCGGGCGCGAGAGGCCAATCACCTATCCGCCTCAAATTACTAGATTTTCGAAACTTCTACAGAGAACAACCGGACGGATCCTTTGATAACGACCTTTGGCTTACGTAAACGGACAAGAATCGGATATTGGAACATAAAAACTATGATGCAAGCATCACGCCTTGCCCAAATTTGTAGAGAGATGAAAGCATATAAAGTCGATATACTAGGTCTCAGTGAGACACGGTGGAATGGGACGGGAGAGCACGTCAACATGGAAGGCGACCTGCTGATATACTCTGGTAAAACAGATGGCGGAAGACATGAAAATGGAGTAGGAATTCTATTTAGTAAAGCCACAAAAAATTCTCTTGTGGAATGGAAACCTGTTTCAGAGCGAATAATCACTGCAAGAATTAGGACCAAATTAAGACTGGTAACACTGATTCAGTGCTATGCACCAACAGAACAAGCAACAGAACAAGAAAAAGAGGATTTCTACGAATGCCTTGAAGCAACATTAGAACAAATTAAAAGATCCGATATAAAAATAATGATGGGAGACTTCAATGCCAAGGTTGGCACTGACAACACCAACCTAGGACACGTTATCGGAAAGCATGGCACTGGCCAGAGAAACAACAACGGCGAACGCTTCATTGAATTATGTGGTAACCATGACCTAATCATTGGAGGGACTTTGTTCCCACACAAAACAATCCACAAGGTATCATGGAAATCGCCAGATAACCGCACCTACAATCAAATCGACCACGTTGCAATCAGTAAGCAATGGAGAACATCTCTCTTAGATGTCAGATCATGGAGAGGCGCAGATGCGGCCAGTGATCACTACCTGATGATGGCCGAAATTAGATTCAAAATAGCTAGGAATAGAAAAGAACTGAACAAACCTATTCGAAAAAAGTTCAACATTGAGAAACTACAAAATAACGAGACGAAAGTAGAATTCGCACGACAGCTGAGATCCAAAATCGACGAAAGACAGGACAAAAATTGGGAAACGATTAGCAAAGCCCTTGTGGAAACAAGTGAAAACGTGCTGGGCCTAAAGAAAGACGTAAAGAAAGAGTGGATTACGAGAGAAACGTGGAACAAAATAGAACGTCGCAAACACATTAATCTAGAATTACTAAATTCCAAGACAGCAGCAGAGAAGAACCGACTTAGAGAAAGTTATAGAGAAGCGAATAAAGCTGTCAAGAAGGCAGCAAAGAAAGACAAAAGAAAGTGGGCAGAAAATCTTGCCGAAGAAGCGCGAGTCGCCGATGAACATCAAAACATGAGACAATTATATAATATCACTAAACAACTAGCCAATAAAAGATATACTACCCACCAACCAATTGTAAAAAGTGCTACAGGTGAAGATATTACAACGCCACAGGAACAAGTCAAAAGATGGCATGAATATTTTAGCGAATCTCTAAGTGCAGTCCCAACACCACCAGAAGACGCAGAAAACCTAATACCCAATATCCAACTGAGAATTAACACCAACGAACCAACAACGCAAGAAATAGAAATGGCCATAGAAAAACTGAAAGCACACAAAGCAGCCGGCCCTGACAATATTCCACCAGAGTTGTTAAAAGCTTGCCCAGGTACAGTGGCAGAGCTAATCCAACCACTCTTGAAAAGGGCTTGGAGAGAGGAAAAGTTCCCCAAAGAATGGAAAACGGGATTAATAATAAAGATACCAAAAAAGGGTGACAGAAGATATTGCGAAAACTGGAGAGGAATCACACTTCTGAATACTATAAATAAATTAACAGCAATAATTATAAACAACCGACTAACAAAGAGTGTAGAACCAATGTTGAGGAAGGAACAAGCCGGTTTCAGACCAAACAGATCATGCGTGGACCAAATTAACACACTAAGAATAATTGTAGAACAGTCACAGGAATTCAACTCTCCTCTCTTTGTGTGCTTTGTGGACTTCAAGAGAGCTTTTGACACGCTCACACATACGGCCATATGGAAAGCACTGCAGGAAATAGGAATACCAGAAAAAATAGTAAATCTCATCAAAGAACTCTACAGTGACACAGAAAGCAAAATCCTACACAACGGCATAACATCTGACCCAATAGCTATGCTAAACGGAGTAAAGCAGGGCTGTGTTTTATCCCCTATACTATTTAACATTGTACTGGACTCCGTACTAACAAAGGTAAACTCTAATAGAGGAATTTACTGGGGATTAACAAACAGACTGGAAGACCTAGATTACGCTGATGATATATGCCTCCTAGCACATACAAAACAGGACATGCAACTCCAAGTAAACAAAGTACAAGAAGAATCAAAGAAGGTTGGTCTAGAAATAAACACCAACAAAACCAAAGAAATGCGATTTGGTACCAGAAACAACCAACCTATTATTATCAACGACCAGAAAATTGAGAGAGTAGCGGAATTTGTATATCTGGGCAGCATAATTGACTGTAATGGGGGTACAGAGCGTGATGTACATGAAAGAATAAATAAGGCTCGCAACGCCTACAACATGCTTAACAACATATGGAAATCCAGGATTTACCCAACTAAAACGAAACTAAAAATCTTCAACACAAATGTAAAAGCTGTATTACTGTATGGCTGCGAAACGTGGAAGATATCAGCACCCATAGTACACCAATTACAAGTTTTCATTAATAGAGCGTTACGAAAAATCCTTCGTATATTTTGGCCTAACCGAATCTCCAATGAAAATTTATGGAACCAAAGCAACCAAGAAAATGTCATAAAGCAAATAAGGCGAAGAAAATGGAGATGGCTGGGCCACACACTCCGTAGACCGCCAAATGACATTGCCAGGACAGCACTGGATTGGAATCCCCAAGGCCGACGGAAAGTAGGCAGACCTAAGGGAACTTGGAGAAGGACAGTACTGGACGAAGGGAGAACAATGGGAAAATCCTGGCTTGAAATCAAAGCACTAGCCAGAAATAGAGTTCGCTGGAGACACTTTGTGGAAGCCCTATGTTCCTCTTAGGAATCTTGGGACTATATATATATATATATATATATATATATATATATATATATATATATATATATATATATATATATATATATATATATATATATACTGATCATGAAGCAGTATATACCAAGTTTAACATGCTTAACAAACCATCCTCGATTAACGTTTAGGTAGGATTTTTTCCGCTCAGAACTTTAGTTAATTCCAAAATTTGTGCTTGACTTCTGGATGGCATTTTCCTCTCCAGACGGGGACTATAATTTCAGTGATTTTTTAGATAGATTTGTCTGTATTTTCAATAAGGCATTTTCTTCAATTATAATTAAGTCAAAACATCACAAACCCTGACTACTAAAGATATCCGCATATCAGCCAAGAATATGCGTTCACTACTATGCATCAAGAAATTTACTACCAACGTCTTTGTCACTGAATATATCTCCAAGTACAGAGGAACCTTTCCAAAAATTAATAAAACGGCTAAAAAAATGTACTATCAAAATCTTCCGGGAAGCTCTAAAAATGTTGCAAGAGAAACTTGGTCCATAATAAACGATCTTCGAAATAAAACTAACACAGCTCAAACATTTTCTCTTCCAAACCCTAAAAATCTAAATAAATACTTCGTTAATGTGAGGAAAAATATAGCATCAACTATTTTGCCACAAGATCCTATATCCCATCTCAAATTGATTTTTTACAGGAACAGTTGATAAATCTGTGTAAAGACAGCCATTATTATTTCTCTTTATAAGGGTGATGAAAAATCGAATGTCTGCAACTATAGACCTATTGCCTTACTACTGGTTCGGTAAAAAATTATTGAGAGGCGTATAAAAGCCCGACTCATGTCCTTTCTCTTTAAAAACGACATTTTTCACAAATTCAGTTTGGCTTTTTATCTAATAAATGTACCTGTGATGCTGATGTTTTCTGTACTACTTGAGGTCTATCAAGCATCAAAGAATAATCTTTATACTGTCACTGTTTTTTGTGACTATGGCATAGCTTTTGATTGTGTAAATCACGACATTTTGGTATAGAAACTAAATTCGTACGGAATTCGAGGTATTTCTTTGAATTTCTTCCAATCTTACTTGAGGAATAGGAAACAACTAGTTAAAACAAATGATACTGACTCTAATCACAAAAATATTGTATGTGGAGTACCACAAGGTTCAGTATTGGGTCCTTTTTCTTTTCTTTCTCCTTTTTCCTTATCTTTATAAATGACATCACTAACTTCAAAATCGATGGAAAAATTTTTCTTTTTGCTGATGATACCAGTATCACCTGGAGGAATTCTAATGTTGCAACTCTTTATGCAACTATAACTTCTGATCTACTTAAAATAAAAACCTGGTCCGACTCTAATTTACTCTATTTTAACGTGGATAAGACAGTAGCATTATCCTATAAGTGAGCTCTTCAGCCCTTGCTTCTTAATAACAGCCAGATCAGTATCGTTAATTCTGTCAAATTTCTTGGTATTTTTATAGACAGCAACCTTAAATTGTCCCTTCATATCGATTTTTTAAGTAAGAAACTAGCCTCAGTCTGCTATGCAATAAAATATGTTTCGAAGGAACTCAATTTAGCATCTTCCAAAATAACATAGTTTTCTTTGTTTGAGTCTCATCTTCGATATGGTCTTCCTTTTTTGGGGTTCTAGTACAGGTGCCCAATCTGATGTTATTTTTAAATTACAAAAAAGAGCAATACGATATCTTTTTAGCCTCAGTAGAATACCACATTGCAGAAGCTACGTCAAAAATCACGGGAATTTAACTCTTCCCTCTTTATATATTTTAGAAACTGTTTGCTTAATTCGTAAACACCTACATGTTTTTCCAGCAAGACCTAATCGTGACTACTCCAGCAAAAATTCAACCTTTGATGTGCATTTACCCATCCCGTCCACTTAGTTGGACTGATCCCGTTAGTAAAAAATAAAGTAAAGAAAATATATTATATTCAACAAAAAAATTATAATACCATCTCCCTTTGCAACTTAAATCTTAAACTTATTTCTTTAAGTTCCACAAAATGCAAAAGTCTATTTATCAGAAATAACGTATTGTTCAGTGGAAGAGTTTCTTAACGAGTAACTAAGAAATTACAGTACGTTTAGGTAAAAGCAACTAAAGTATTGTTATATTATATTTGAGTATCACATGCAGCAAATTAAATTTATTAGTTTGTAAGATTTTTATTATACGATTTGCAATATATTTAAACTTTTGAATGGATTGTGTAATTTATTATCTTTTATTTTGAGATATTGACGTTTTATGTAATTTCAGTAAATTTTAAATTGTTATGGTTATTTTTCGACTTTTTGTAAGCATTGTCTATAAGATTGTACAATTTTCAGTGACAGTAAAGCATATTTCTATTCCATTATTATTTATGATGTTGTAGGTATCATCCATGGTCCTTTGTGTACAGTCCAGGTTGGGTACAGATCAAGTGCGATCTCAGAATATTGTCCCAATTACCATTCAACCTAAACCCTGACTGGGAACTTCCTGTGAGAAAAGAAACTAACAATCAACCACTTAAAGATGGAGTCCGGGATATGCTTGTCAAACACCATTTGTTTAGTTGGGATATTTAGTAGGAACTCAGTGCCGCAACTTGTTTTGATGTACACGGAGTGAGGCTAAAATGCTCAAGGAGGTTGTAGTTTCAGGATATGTCCTTGACTTCTATTCTGACATTCGATTTTAGCTGTTAAGAGTTTAAACCTGTGCCATTTTGTGCGTATAAGAGGTCCATATATCGCAAAGCCAGTTGGCTAAAAAGATTAATGCCTGCAACTTTTTGATTGCAATATTGAAATAATATTCAATGATTAAATAACTCTTTCTCCTTATATCCGTCCCATTCGAGCTGATAGTCTCATGTAATACAAGTATTCGTGAGAGGAAAATCGTAAGATCGCTAACTTTGGATTAGATTTTTAGCATCAATGAAACAGCTTTAAACTTTTTAAACGTAATCGTATCCTTGATCAGTTACAAATAACAGCTGTCAGTAAGCAAATTACATATTTAACATCTGTCAAATGTAATTAAGGTATGAAAATGATTTACTTTTTAAAAAGTGTTGTAAAAATAATGTTGTTTATAAAAATATATTCTTTAACAAGAATGTAAGTTGCAGTTGGTTAATAAAGGAAGGGAAACTAATATTTATTAAAAAAATATAAAAAAGAATGCGCGCAAACGTCAGAACGACATAATGAATATACAGTATGTTTAACTTATGATACGAAATTTAGAAAATAGAAAATATATTTTTTAATTTCATACAATGATATAAAATATAGGGTGTTTTATTTAAAAAATAAGAATTACAATCGCTAGTTTTGCGCCACCTTGTAAACTAAACATAAACAATCGAAAATTTAATCAGTTACAAAAGGCCATATTAAAAACTCTGTCAACGAACGATTAACCCTCAATGCTTTATCTTTAACGATACGGTAAAAGTAACGATATCTTTTAAACCGCCATCTATAAAATAGTAAAACCCTGTATTATCTACATTGGAAAACACTCAACTTTAAAATAATATGCACTGTGTTCCACTTAAAAATCCTCAATTTGATTTACGGCATATTCTGCATTCGAAACATATTCAATTACACGCTTGTGATTGCAATTTCGGAGCATTTGTCTCTCATCAGACATACATAGATATAGGGAAGATCCGTGCACTTTAGGATACTTTTCTTCATTCTCACACAACTTCTGTTTTGATTAACTAACTTCTCTTTTTACTCTAGTCGGAACGGAAAGTACTCTATTGTATAATTTTGTTGCAAAAAATTTTGTTAAAAACTTTGACTTTTCTTATAAAAGATTGGTTAATTTCAGCCCTTAATGTTGTTAATTAACCTAACAGTGATTTAAAATAAGGCCTCCTTGGCTCCTAAATTTTATAGGACCTCTTTTTTTTCTAAAAGCTGTACGTGTTTCTTAACCAGCTTTTCAAATATTTTTTGCCATTTAATTTGAACTAAATTCTCTAAAAGTTCACATATTCAAAAAAAAAACTTAAAGAAAAAATACTGAAAATTGTTTCACTGTGTACCAGAATCGGTACACAGTGAAACCTATTATATCTAGTGTCTTAAGAAAATATTTTGAGTACGTAAAGCCCTTATCGAACATTTAACGATCCAAAGTCAATATTAAATTTGTAATAACCTGCCAAGCATTGATTTTTGGAAGCGGGTTGAGGTAAAACACGAAATCGTCCTTATTAGCACTTCGAAAATAATCAGGTTATTCACTAATCCAATTATCATCATCATCTGCGAAGTCGGCTAGTTAGATATCACTTTCGTCACTGGAGTCAGACACTGTTTGTTGTTTTTTGTCGTTTAATTAATTTGATTGTTGTAGGGAATTCCTTTAAACGATCCTGAACCTTTTTGTTAATTGGGGTTATCCCTTTTCCTCTTTCTTTATGTATCGGCTAGCGTATGTCTGGAATTATTGCATAAAATTTGACATAAATTTGCCAGGATTGGCAACTGTAGAAAACAAAACTTTACTTTTTTACTTACTTTTTTATAAACTATTGTAAACTGGTTGATTTGAAAATTATTCATTATAATATAACTTAATTATTACGTTAATAATTAGTTATTCCAAGTTTAATTACGTAGGGAAGAGCAAGAAAATATAAAAGCTTAGGAAGGAACATTTGCATTTCAAAGAGTTGACTAGAATGGATACATCTACAACTTATTTGCCAGTGGCATATTTTTTTACGGAAATGTGTATAAAAACAGAAAGGATCATGAACAAGAACATTTAGATGCGGCAATATGTTGATTTTGGTATGTTGAAATCATCATCATTCAGCCAATCGCGTCCACTGCTGGACATAGGCCTCCCTCAGTTCTTTCCAGTGTTCTCTACACTGGGCCGCTTGTAGCCAGTTTCCCGCTACACGTTTTATATCATCGGTCCATCTAGTCGGTGGTCGTCCTCGACTTCTTTTATAGTTTCTGGGCCTCCATTCCATAATACGTCTTGTCCACCGTCCATCTTGTGCTCTGGCTAAGTGCCCTGCCCAGTTCCACTTAAGCGACGTGGTTCTTTCGATGACGTCTTGAACTCCTGATCTTTGCCTAATTTGTTGGTTTGTTATGTGGTCTAGAAGGCTCACGTTCAGCATTGCACGTTCCATGGCTCGTTGTGTTGAGTTTATTCGCAGATTTTTGCGTGAGTGTTAAAGTCTCTGCTCCATAAGTTTGTACAGGTAAAACACATTGGTTATAAACCTTTCGCTTGAGACACATGGGAATTGAACTTTTTAGAATATGGCTTAATTTGCCAAATGCTGCCCAAGTTAGGCCTATTCGCCTCTGTATTTCATGTGTTTGATTGTCTCTGCTTATTTTGATTTCGTGTCCCAGATATTTGTAAGTGTCTGTTTGTTGTATGGTATTATTGTCAATAGTTATATTTCCCTCAATAGTTATATTTCCTCAATAGTTATATTTCCACATGTTGAAATGGACCACTGAAAAAAGGATCTTGAAAGAACTATACAGGTAAACTTAAAGATCGGCTTATTGTTTGTGGCCATTTCTACCTCCGCTTTAGCTTACAAAGGCGACATCTATTTTGGCGGCCTTAAATGAAAACAATTGATCTGCCGTTTGCGTTAGCTATATAGGTCCGAAACGAGTCTTTCAGAAAAGTTTTCCAGAGTTATACAAGGCAGTTTTATAAGGTCAAACAAAATACTGTACCAATCAGAGTAGATGGCCCTAAGTTGAATTTGTATGTACATATAGGGACATGTATGATGAGAGGTACTTATTATGGTTTGAAACTAGCATTTCTATATTTAATAGGAATAAATTACAATTTTAATTGAAAATCAGTTGTTAAATAAAAATTATTAAAAATAACGTATTTTTAATTGAAATTACGGTTTATTTCCATTAAATATAATACATAACATATGTAATTGCCTTGAAATTGCAATCACCTGCTGCTTATTGTCAAATTTCTTAGCGAGGAATGGAAAGAGAAGTTTTACTCCTACTACAACAGTTTTGTACTTTGTTTTCTTCAACCTCAATAATTATTATAAAAGTACAGACTGTTGTCATAATTTTCATATCTTAAATTATTTCTTCGATTATTCAAATCTGTATGTACCTATGTGTTCGTGGTTTACTTGTCTTGGTTTAATGTTTTGAATAAACCAAATATTTTGTTGATTTAATCTTTGGATGCTACAATTGCACTTGTTGGCGCACCATGTACCTACATTTAATTGTTAAAATATTGATTTTTCTATGTTTTGTATGTATTCAAATATAATTTTGCGCTATAAATATAGATAGTGTTTGTACATTTTGTGACATATCTGTAGATTTATGGAAAAATCAGTATGCATGAAATTCATGTTCACTTAAAATATCTTTAATTGTAATTTTTATTGTCTGTTTATATTTCTTACATTTCTGTTATGAAATAATGTAATTATATCCTATAAAATTGTCTCCTTATCACTTCTTCCACCTTGATTTTATTTTGTTGTGTTTTTATTCCAGTATCAAGCAAAATCTATAAATTAGAAAAGAGAATATTTTTTCTCTTTTTAGTAGTTGCCTCTATAATTTTCCGATTTATTTCCTGCTTGAAGGCATGTAAGTAATTTTTGATAAAAATAATGATACATATAATTTTAGCAATGATATACATTTTTATCGTATGGACTAAAATTTTACCTCGCAAATTAGAAAAGGAGTTTAGCTGTGTAAAAATGTATATGTAAGTTGATGCACTATAGTAAATGTATTATGTATGTTCTAGCGCAAAAATTTGCCCAATTTCCCCAGATCTGTGAAAATAAACGGCATCAATTCTCCATAAGAGTCTATGCGTTAGAGAGAGACAAAGCATCGATTTTTCTCCAGAATTTCGGATAGTTTTTGAGAAGTTCTAAGGTTCATTCTGATCATTTTTCACGCTTTTTGTCATGGTGATAAAACGGCTCGTCGGATCGTGAAGTAAGAGGTCTCATTGTAAAGGGTATCGAATATGTTGAGACAAAAACAAACAAAATGACATTGGCAAAAGGGCACCACATCGTATCTTCATTATTATTGGTCAAAATCAAATGGCAACGGAAGATATAACGAATATGTTCAGTTAAAAAAAACAAACAAGGCCACTTCCAAAAGAACACTAAATAGCATCTTCGTTTTAGTTACTAAAAGTATCTTCGTGTCACTATATGTTTAAACGTATAGTGACAAAAAAAAAGAAAAAAATGTGCTAGAACATACATAGTACATATACTTACTCTCGATATCGCATTTTGCCCATGTGTTCTTCCATTTTGCATTAATTTATATCTTTTTTGTTCGTTGTTGATATTGTATCTTTTAAATACAATAGTTTGTTATCTGATTTTCTCTTTGCTCATTTTATGTCCTTAAAATGCATTGAAAATCGCCAGGGAACATGTCTGTATTGACTTTTTTACAGAAAAATATCTAGATATCAAGACATTTGTCGTTAAAACAATATGTATCCAAAATTTATTCATGGCGTTTCTTCTTCTATTTATTCCTTCACA